TCAGCTTGGCATCTGCTCAGTCCCGTCTGTGAGCTTGGTTTCTGATGCGCAGTCACACCTCTGGCCCCCCGCCTGTGCAGCAGGAACATTCCCCGTGTGTCACAGAATCATTTTTGCCAATTTTGCTAATTTAGGAGAATCTTCACTCCGAACATCAGGCTCTGAGAGTTGTTTTTAGCTAGCATTCACATCGGCAGCTGGTTTAGTAAGCACATATTTTCCGTAGGAAAAAAAGGAAGGAGCAAACTTTGAGTTTTGTTTATAAACATAGGTTTAGGGATATGTGATGTTATTTTCAATCTTAACAGCTAATTTGTATTAACTAACATAGGTGTTTTAGCTATATAAATAGGTGAACCTTGTATCATCGCTGTGGTATCTTCATTGTAATTTTACTAGGCGGAAACAAACAGGATTAGAACCCTTCAAAGCCAGGGGTGGTGGCACATACCTGTAATCCCAGCACTCAGGAGGCTGAGGCAGGAGGATCGCTGTGAGTTCGAGACCAGCCTGGGCTACATAGTGAGTTCCAGGTCAGTCTCAACTACATAGTGAGACCCTGTCTCAAAAAAAAAAAAACAGAGAAAGAGAGAGAGAAAGAAACCTTCAGAACTGGGCTGGGGATTTAGCTCAGTGGCACCCCGCCTGTCTCACAAGCACAAAGTTCTGAGTTCAATCCCTGGTACCAAAAAAAGAAAAGAAGAAATCTTCAGAGCTCAGAAATACAAGTCACAGCCTGTGTTCTTTATTTCACCAAGACATCCCTGCCCACCCATGCTATTCATAATTTTGTTTTTCAGCACTGAGAATTGAACCCAGAGCCTTACACATTGAACCACAACCCTCATACACTCCTCTTTTTCTTTCCTCAAGGAAAGATCCTCCTGCCTCAGCCTGTGAGAGAGTGTGGATTACAGGTATGCACTACTACACCCAGCTCTAAAATCACCTTCTTCACTTGATAATTCATTAACTCCTTCCCAATTACCGTTAGTAATGTGCTTGTGAGTAAATGTGTTATATGCCATTGTATACTATGCCGTGATTTATTTATTCTGTCCCTTACTATCAGATTTGTGTTTTGCTTTTGGAGACAGAGTCTGGCTGTGTGGTTCAGGCTGGCCTCTAACGCATTATGGGGCCCAGGTTGGCCTTCCACTCCTGGTAGTCCTGCTGCCTCAGCCGTCTGGATGCTGGGATTACGTGTGTATGCCACCACACCTGGCCTTACTGCAGTTTAAATCTCGGTAACATCAGTGATTTATAAAAATGTTACTCCCAGTTATGGTACTGTACTATAATACAATAACCAGTTGGCCCAAACTGTGAAGGAAACACCAGATCTCTCAAATTATTCCTTACTGCATATGGCTCAGCAGTTCTCTTAATTTAAAATGACGCCCCTGCCGGCCACGGTGACAAAATGAACCTGGGCTATTTACTGAGGCCCTGTGTCACCAAAATAAAGTGGCATCGCGTGGCCCTGGGCTCCTGGCCAGTGCAGGCAGGGGTGTGGGGTGCTGCTGGCAGGAAACGAAAGTTAGCCAGTTAACCCAATTCACATTTTCTGAAATCTTTCTACACGTTCCAGACTAAACTTTTTTATAAAGGCGAAGCATTCTCGAGTCAGTCTGCCGGTAAACGTTCTTAAGTGGTGCCCACTTAGTGGCCGCTGGGGGGTCGGGGGTCCCTGGCTGCGGGGGTGGAGGTGGGCGCCGGGCGGCGGGCGCAGGGTCCCCGCACCGCATTCTCGGTAGTCCCCGGCTGTGCAATCGGGTTTGGGGGCCCCCGAGGTGCACCACCACCACCCCTGCACCCCTCCGTCCGGACATGTGCGCCTGCTGTGTGGTCGGCCCCTCCTCCCGCAGGGCCGCCCGTTGACCATCAAATCGCGCCTCCCGGGGGCCTCTCGGGGGCCTCTCGGGGGCCTGCGCGTGCTGCATGCTGGGACACGGGTCCTTGGGCTCGGTTTCCATGGGAACTGTCGCCACTGGAGCCCAGCTGGGAGCCAGCGCAGGATGTGAGGGTATCAACGTCAGGGACGGACAAGAGAGAAATTCGGGTGCGCGCTCCCGTGGGCGTGCACGTACATACGTTCCTGCGTGTCTGCGCATGCGCGCTGGGCCCCTCGCCTGGGACTGCGCTTCGGGCCAGAGATGTGCGCATGCGCCTTGCGCCTTGTCCCAGTCAGGGGTGCTCAGAGCGCGCGTGTGATACTGATGCGTGGGAGAGTGTAGAGAAGTGTGTAGCACTGACGTGCCAGGCTGGGTCCCCATAACGGTGACGCACATTTGCAAGTAGCGTCAGTGGGACTCTGGGGCGAGCAGCAAGCATCGGGCTGTTGCACCCAGCCGTTCGCAGAGCTGTGCCCGAGATCCCTGCGTGGACCAAGGGGCGCCACAGGTTGCGGAGAGCACGGATGACGCGTGGCTCCCCTTGAGCCACAGGTGCGCGAGCATCCTCGGGGGCTGCAGCCGGCGGCCCTGGAACGCGCGCGACCCCGGGGTGGCGCTGACAGGTGGGATGAGCGGGGCTGACCCCGCGGGGCAGCGTCCTCTGCGGGGTGTTGACTGTGTGACCAGGACGAGGAGTCCACCATGGTGTGTGGCGTTGTGAGGCTGTGGCTGGCGCGGGTGTTTTTATATATATGTATATATTTCATTGGTCCACTTTAGATATACATAATGATCACACTCCTCATAGGGAATGTGTACCTGCGCGAGATACATCTGGCTGCTTTTCTTTTCCCCATTCCCCGCCCCTCCTTCCAACCTCTCTTCCTCTCCTTATTTACCAAAGCTTTGTTTCCTTCTTTTTTCTTTTTTCTCTTCTTTCCTTTCTCTCTCTACCCTCCCTTGTTCTCATTTGAACATTTTTCTTCCCATTTCCCAATATTACACATTTTGATCCTTATTTACCTATCGGTTTCTCACACCAGAGAAACAATGCGGTAAGTACACGTGTGTGTCCAGTCTGCCTCACTTCAGAATGTGGTCTCAAGGTGCATCCATTTAGCTATAAATGTATCGTCTATGAAACTTTATCCTTTATGGCAGAGTAGCACTCCGTTGTATTTAAACACACACATCTTCTTTATCCATTTGTCGTTTGATGGGCAGTTGGGCTGTTTCCAAGATTTAGCTACTATAAACTGTGCATATATTACTGTAGTATGATGTTTTTAATTCTTTCAGGAAGATACCAAGAAGAGGTGTAGCTGGGTCAAATGGAACCTCTAGGTTTTTTTTCTCTTTTTTTTTCTGTTTTTTTTTTTTTTTTTTTTCTTTTTTTTTTTTTTTTTTTGAAGAATCTCTACACTGATTTACACAGTGGTTGCACCAGTCCGCACTCCCACCAGCAGTGGAGAAGGGTTTCTTTCTTCCCACAGCCCCGCCAGCATTTATTGGTTGATTTCTTGATAGCAGCCATTCTTTCTGGGGTGAGGTGGAACCTCAGCATTGTTTCAATTTGCATCGCTCTAAAGACCAGTGATGGTGGACATTTTTTCACATATTTATTTGCCATTTGTACTTCTTCATCTGAGAAGTGTCTATTCATTTCAGATGCCTGTATTAGGGTTGGGTTTTTTGTTTGTTTGTTTGTTTGTTTTGCCCCTTCAGACAGGGTCTCTCCTTGTAGCCCAGGCTGGCCTCGAACTTGCGACCCTCCTACCTCCCTGGGATTACAGGCATGTGCCACCACACCCAGCTGGAATGGATCTTTACATTTGGGGGATGTGATTTTTTTAAATTTCTTTGTATATTTTAGATATTAGTACCTTGAGGAACAGCTGGAAAATTTTTTCTCACCGTGGGTTGTCTCTTCACTGTGATGGTGGCTTCTTTTGCTGTGCAGATTTTTAATAAGATGAGATCCCAGTTGATTCTTTGGGGTTGGGGATTTGTTCATAAAGTATTATCCTACATCTATGGCCTCAAGAGTTCTACCTGTTCTATCTTCCAGCAGATTTCGTGTTTGTTTTAATATTTAGCTCTTCTTTACATTCCACTTTCAGTTTAGTGCGTGGTGAGAAAGATGGGTGTGGTTTTCATCTGCAGCGTGTGGTAAGCAAAGGAACATACCAGCCTTACCTTGGAAGGGGAACACAAGGGCCAGGGGTGTAGCTCAGTGTGAAGCACAGGTGTCTGGCATACATGAGGCCTGGGCTCGATCCCCAGCACCACAATAAGTAAATCAATAAATAAGAAAATGGGTGCAAGATGGATGGTGGCGGACGGCTAACGGATGTGCAGTTTCTCGGTCTTCCATTGCCACAGCTGACTCAGATGTCAGTGGTGCTGTACGTGACGTGACTCACACCTGAGGCAGTCAGGCCTCACAGTGCGGATCCCAGGGTGGCCAGTGAGCAGCACACACTGCAGGGTTAGTGGCCGTCACTCGGGCTCTGACACTCGGTGTCCTGAAGGGGCTCATTCCCCGGGCGTGGCGGACTGAATGACTGCGTGGCTAATCTCATCTCCAGGTTGGCGGGTACTGTGTGACCCGAGTCGTCCTCAGAGGACTGGGCTGGGCTTCCAGCGCAGTTGGCCCACACCTGCAACAGAAAAGGTCCTCCTGTCTGGAATGACGCAGTTACCTCTCAGGTTCCCAGGGCAGAGCCTGGACCTTTCCGGGTAAGGCCAGATTCCTCACGACATCCCAGCCTCCTCTGACTCACCCGCAGGAGCTGGCCAGTCTCCCTGCTGGTGTCGGAGTCTGTCTTCAACACAGAAATCGGTGAAGGACTAAAGGAAGGCGCCTCTGCTCTGCTGTGTACAGCCGGCCCCGGCGTTCTAGGAGTGGTTCTGTCCAGAGTCCCCAGTTCATCCCAGGTGGACCTCACACAGGGGTCTCTGTGTGTGTGCGTGCGTGTGTGTGTGCACGTGCGCGTGTGCTGGAAGTGAGGATGGAGGCGTGAAGTCACCCTAAGTCACTCGGGCCCACGTTGCAGCTGGCTTAATGTCTTCCTACTCTGACCTCTCCGGTTTTACCTCCTGTAGAGGGAACGCCAAGATAACGGACCCAGCCCCGAGAGCTGAGACCATGGCCCACGTAAGTATGCACCTCATTCCCTGAAATGGGATGGGCTCGTGGGGCCGTGCTGAGTTCTCCCAGGCTGCCCCCCTCCGACCCCAACTCCTTACCCGTGAAAGGTCTCCTTGAGCAGGGAGTGATGACCCAGAGACCCTGTGTCTGCCTGCAGCTGAACAGACTATCCCGTCTCCTCGGGATGCTCCCATTTTGTCTGAGCAGTAATGGAGCGGTGAAGGAGCAAAGCCCCGAGGGAAACGCCAAATTGGGCCTGTGATTTGATGGGTTAGACGCCCGGGTCCTGTGTGACCAGAGGAGGCAGGCTGTCCACCTCTTCCCTCTTCTGGGTAGATAAGAGGGAACGTTGTAGGTAAGAGCGGGTGTTCACATCTGTCTTCGTGTGTGTGGCTTTTAGAATTGGACAAAGTCAAGCTGGGCCTGGTGGTGCACACTTGTCATCTCAACACTCAGCAGGCTGAGGCAGGAGGATCGCCATGAGTCCGAGGCCAGCCTTGGCTACATAGCAGGACCCTGTCTCAAGAAAACCAAAAGCAATTAAAATAATTTTTTTAAATTGTCATTAAAGCAACCTGCCAGACCTAGGATCAGGAATCATCAGCATCCTCTCCCCCCATCAGGGAAGGGTGGGGAATGGGGACAGCAGGAGTATCACACAGTGCAGAGCATACAGGTGGCCCTAGTGCCCCCGGAACTGGCGACACCTCAGCTTTCTACCCAGGCTCTGTGTGGCCCTGTTGCAGACCTGAGGTCTGACTCAGCTGTTGGTGGGATACCATGTTTTCTTTGCTTTACAAAGGATGGCTAAGCCAGGCTTGGTCGTGTTGCTTGTGCAGTGATGCCTCAGTTCACAAACGAAATCCCTCTGTGACTGGAGGGGAGACGGTCACGGTCACATTGGTCACGTGACATAGTTCACCGACAAGCAAGATTTTGCCAAACGCTTCTATTTGCAAACCAACTTGTTCACAAACAAGCATTCTTGAACTGAGGCACCACTGAACCTCAGCTATTCTGGAGGCTGAGGCAGGAGGATTGCAAGTTCAAGGCCAGCTTGAGCAAACAGACCCTTCTCCGAAATTAAAAGATAAAGGAAACCTGCATAAAATGCTATTTAGCATGACGATGAACGTGAGTCTTGGAAACATGCAAACCATGTCTTCTAAAATAAAACGTGTTGGTCCAGGGATTTAGCTCAGCGGTTCCGCCACTGCCTTTCAAGCACAAGGACCCGAGTTCGATTCCCGGTCCCCCCCCAAAGTGTAAAAACGCGCTACAAGAACCTCAGGACTCTTTTCCCTGTGAAGGTGGAGGAGTGCTACCGGAAGCTGTGCCTGCAGACTCTGCGCTGCATCCGGGCCTTTGTGAGCCGCCAGGAGCCCGGAGGGCAGGTGGGTGTGCGGGCGGGCGGCGGGCAGGGACGGCCCTGATGCTCTGCGCCCCGGCTCGCCCGCACCTGCGGTCTGTGTGTGTCCCCAGGGAGTGCTGTCCTTCGCGGACGTGGCCGTGGTCTTCTCCCAGAAGGAGTGGG